TTACAAGTATTTTTTTATTTAATTTTTTAAAGTTTGTTTTAATTATTTTTATTATTTGAAAAAAGAAATTCACTTTTGGAAAATAATTTTAATGTAGATAATATTTAATGGTATGGATTCAAGATTTGATCTCTTGGCTTTTATTTGCTGTGGAGAACTTTAAGCCCAATTTAGATAGACATTACTAGCAAAAGAAAGGCAGAATGTGAAAAAGAATTCATTTTCACATAGTGAATTTGATTTTCACTGCCAATTTACAAAACAAGAATTGCAAAATGAGCAATCATGCAAATCACAGCAAACATTATTAAAAAAGAGAAATGACAGATGATGATAATTTGTTTTTATACTTAGTGCCCATAGTTATGGCTCTGAATATCAGGTGGATGAGTCCTCTCAGCAGTGCTTATATGCAGGCAGTACATGTAAATATGCTTCTTTTTTTTTTTACATTTTGGACTAGCTAACAGGCCTGGTGCTAGCTGAAAAAGAGAAAAAATATCAGTCAACTGTGCTTGCTTCTTCTATATATTTTGAAAAAATAAAACTTCAAAATTAATTATAATAATTATAAGAATATATTAATAATTATAAAGTATATTCTTATAGTTATTATGTTTACATTTTTTTTTTTCTTATCTCCAGAATTTCATTCTTTTGAATAGTGATGATGATTTCTGTGAATTGTTTTGTGAATTGCAATCACAATTTAACATGTTAAAATGTGATTGCAATTCACAAAACAGAAAACTTTGCAAGAAAGGACTGGCTGTAATATTCATTCTACTTTCCATTTTTCACTAGCAAATATCTCTGTATCTGTACTAAGCTTAAAATTAAGACATTAAAATTACAAGTATTTTTTTATTTAATTTTTTAAAGTTTGTTTTAATTATTTTTATTATTTGATAAATAAAACAGAAATTAACAATTTTATAAATTTTTTGTCTGTTGACTATCAGTTTGTTCAAATNTGTTAATATATAAATTAGAATAGTTTCTAAGAAATATATGAAGTATGAGATTATTAATGGATAATTTTGTACTGATGATATACTCATATTATTAAAAACATATAGACATATTTGCTTTGATGGAGAGAAATTTGTATTTGTTTCTTTATAAAACATACAAGATTTGAACTTACTTTGACAATGAAAATGGTTACAGTTGAAAGAGATATCAGTTATTTTTAATAAAACAGAAGATAAAATATATGGTTTGCTATACAATGTTTTAAATTCACTTGAAAAAATAATTTAAAAATTTATCATGCTTCATTTTGATATTATTACCATTATTTTGTGTGGATAACACACAAAATAATGACAATAATATCAAATTAACCTTGCAGAAAATTGCTAAAATGGAAGTATAAAACCTTCACATAATCTGCCCATCTCACATCTATGCTAAGCCATAGGAAGCATAATACCTATTATACCTATTAGTATGTACTGTACAAGGTACAAGATGGATGGGAAGTAACTAAGAATTGAGAAATCACTATAATTTCTATATTTCTAATGCAAAGATGAGGAAAATTATTTGACATGTATTAAATGACCTTATTAACTGAAAATATGAATGCATGTTTTAAAATTCAATATAGGCACTGGCACCATCCACCAATTTTTCTCACATTATGATGTGGATGAACAGCCACTTCTATGTACATCTGCACTGGACCTGTGGTGATTTTAGCTTTAAGTAACCATACTTGATTGTTTCTGTATGGATTGTGACATGATGTCCCTTTACTGTGTGCCACCATCTCTGCACAGCAACCACTGATTTCCACACATCATAGCTTGTAGCAATCTGCATTTGCTCTTGAACAGACAAGCAGTTGCCCATTTGTTTTCCCACTTTGTGTGTAGCTTCTCTCATATTGATATGCCCACATTACCAGTATGGGAATTATAAAGTTCCATTGATTGATGTATAGTACATGCTTACATAATTTTTATTATGATTGTGTTATTATTAGAAAAATTATAGGAATTTTTTTAATGCTTAATTACTTTCCATCCATCCTATAGATTAAATGGTACCATCATAAACATTAAAACATTATTTTTCTATTTTACGTTATTGTAGATGTAATTATGAAATAAGTGAAATGAAAAAATACAGCACTGAGAGGAAATCTCATAAACTTTGTGTGGAATATACAATAGCTTACCCAACAGCAATTTTTGTTACCATATTCTTTCATTTGTTTTATTTATCAAAGAATAATAATAATAATAATAAGCAAATATAATACACCAAGAGCTTGTAAAGAAACACAACTTGGTAGACATTCACGAACCATACTACAAGTATATTCCACAGACAGTATTGGAAAACAACACGCACAAAATGTATTACGACAGAGCCATAATCACAGATAAAACAATTTACCACAACAGACCAGACATCACACTCATTGACAAACACAATAAAATCACATACATTATAGACATAGCCATTCCAAACACTCACAATGTACAAAACACATGCACTGAAAAAATTAGCAAGTACACAGAACTCGCCCAGGAAATCAGGCATCTGTGGAAGATGGATAGGGTGCTTATTGTATCTGTCGTTCTCTCCTGTACAGGTGTGATACCACACACACTACACAAAAGCCTGGGAACATTACAATTGAGTAGAATTGTAATGTTCTACTCAATTGTAATGTTCATACATACATCACATACAATTGTAATGTAAATACATACATCACACTACAGAAGGCCACTATATTGAATACATGCCACATTGTTAGGAAATTCATGAATACAGACACACACACTGACACACTTATTTAATTTTAGTTTTGTTTTGGTTGCTATGCCTTGACTCTGGTCCGGCATAGTACACTGCCACCAGTGTGAACCGAGTATAACCAACTAAACACAATAATAATAATAATAATAATAATATAGTAGTAAATGTTAAAATAAACTCAAAAAATTATATAGAAAATAATTTTAATGTAGATAATATTTAATGGTATGGATTCAAGATTTGATCTCTTGGCTTTTATTTGCTGTGGAGAACTTTAAGCCCAATTTAGATAGACATTACTAGCAAAAGAAAGGCAGAATGTGAAAAAGAATTCATTTTCACATAGTGAATTTGATTTTCACTGCCAATTTACAAAACAAGAATTGCAAAATGAGCAATCATGCAAATCACAGCAAACATTATTAAAAAAGAGAAATGACAGATGATGATAATTTGTTTTTATACTTAGTGCCCATAGTTATGGCTCTGAATATCAGGTGGATGAGTCCTCTCAGCAGTGCTTATATGCAGGCAGTACATGTAAATATGCTTCTTTTTTTTTTTACATTTTGGACTAGCTAACAGGCCTGGTGCTAGCTGAAAAAGAGAAAAAATATCAGTCAACTGTGCTTGCTTCTTCTATATATTTTGAAAAAATAAAACTTCAAAATTAATTATAATAATTATAAGAATATATTAATAATTATAAAGTATATTCTTATAGTTATTATGTTTACATTTTTTTTTTTCTTATCTCCAGAATTTCATTCTTTTGAATAGTGATGATGATTTCTGTGAATTGTTTTGTGAATTGCAATCACAATTTAACATGTTAAAATGTGATTGCAATTCACAAAACAGAAAACTTTGCAAGAAAGGACTGGCTGTAATATTCATTCTACTTTCCATTTTTCACTAGCAAATATCTCTGTATCTGTACTAAGCTTAAAATTAAGACATTAAAATTACAAGTATTTTTTTATTTAATTTTTTAAAGTTTGTTTTAATTATTTTTATTATTTGATAAATAAAACAGAAATTAACAATTTTATAAATTTTTTGTCTGTTGACTATCAGTTTGTTCAAATGAAAGATGTGCTCCCTTATATGGTAAAGACTTGGATGGTCTGACCATTTCAATCCATCAATAGTTCTGAAATTTCATTTGTTCATCCAATTTCTCTTTTAAAAACCTCATAAAAATTTGTTTTACTTTTGTTTTTTAACTTGAAAGTTATTCAAAAATATTTTAGATTTTATATGAATTGACATTCATATAAACTTTAAAATATTTTTGGCATTTACCATTATATTTTTGAATAAAGTCAGTTAATATAAAATGAATTTCCAATTGTAGAGTTTAAAAATGAAGTGAATAAATTTAAACTGTAATGACATTTTCTTTAATTTTGAGAGAAAAACAGTGGAAAATAATGCTGTTGTATGTAAACAAAATAAAAAAAAAAAAATTACACAGTCAAGTTAGGGCTGTTGTTTTAAATGTATATAATTATGTTAAGATCTGAAAAATTCATTTAATAACAATGAAGAGCAATGAGTTTATACTCATAGCTTATTAGGATAAGAATTATTGAGTTATGTGTACTAACTAGATATTAAAGTTTTTTGAAGTGACGTTATATAGATAGGAGATAATAATTGAAAATTTCTTAGTTTTCAAGATACAGATTCAAATAGGAATGTCTAATAATATCAACTAAAGAATAGATTGAAAGAAAAGAAAATAGTAGTGGAGAGAAGCAAAGGCAAGATATACTTATTAGATGTCTTTGGTAGGTTTGAGAAAAATTGTAATGGCAGATGAATATGTCTTTGGAACACACAGAATTTTTCCATTTTTCTAAAAATACTTTTAGAGACATTAGACAAAAGAGAAGCTGTATGATGAATTTGGAATTTTGATTTAAAATTGATATGTAACCCAATTCATTACATAACACACTCTTTCAAACTGCCTTTAAAACACCTATAACTTGTGTGTTATTGACACAAAATTATTGTAGTTTTTATTAGTCAACATATAAACCTGAAAAATGAAAATTCTTTGTAAAATGCAATAAAGAAATATTTCTTATACAGTAATTAAGATAGTGTAAATTCTTTTTCCCACATATTAATATAGTAATAATACTATTTGAACTTTTTAACTATATTGGTTTCATTTCATTCCAGATTAAATAAAGTAATGAATAAAATATTTGTTTAAACTTTCAGTTGCTGATCCACCAGAAAATGTTGAAGTTCAATGCATTCATGATCCTGACCAAAATCTAAACTTTATATATATATCATGGAGTGTACCAAAAAATACAAGAGGAACATTACAAGGCTTTAATGTGAGTAATAAATTTAATTTGATATGTAAAAATATAACATTTTTTAAATTGCATTTCTTTGATTTCATTTAAAATTATTTACAGATATCCTTAGAAGGTCAAACAAGATATAGAAATATGAATGGTAATATTGTTGTTGAACAGTCAAAAAATTTTATTGATGTAAAAGGGAAAGACTTAAGTTCAAAATCTACTGTGACACCAAACACAAATTATACTGTAAGAGTATGTACCGTAAATAAAGCTGGATGTGGTCTACAAAGTGCTGTCACTAATAAAACCATGTGTGCCTCACCGCCAAGTGGTATGTTGTATTTTTAAATTATAATCAGGCCATTGAACTGAAATATTTTTACTTTTACTTCTCTATGTAGCAGCTGCTACTAGTCAATTTGAACCAGTTGAAATCAATTTAGATTATTACATTTTATCTTAAGTATGAAAGAACATTTTTTTTTTTTCATTAATATTATGATTGTTTGGGATGTTATAATATAATTTTTATATTCACTTATGTTTAGTTAGAGACGATATAATTGTCAATAGAGTAATGATTCCTTTAGTGAAAATATCAAAATTTTAATTGATTTATATCAATTATAAAATACACAATCAGAAAATAAAATTTTCCTTAAAATCAACAACTTTATTTTTTAGGAGAACTGTCTCCATTTTCTTTCTCAGTCTGCAATTTAGTAGGAGTTTAACCAATCATCATCTCCAGTAAAGTTTCTCAATATAGTTTCTTCCTTCTCAGAAAAATTTATGATATAATCTTTAATTAATTTTAAAATTTAGTTGTTTCTTTTTTATCCTTAATTGATTTTTAGTTTTAGTATTAAGAGTAGAAACAAAAAGTCATCATTTGCTAGAATACTGAAGGAGTTTTTAGTCTTTTTTTGATTCTTCATTATAGATTTCCCAATTTTCTGTCATTACTTGGATATAAAAGAATAAGACATTTGAAACTATAAAATGATTGGTAAACTAAATTTTTTGTGTTTTTCTAAAGATCAAACTTATTAGAAACCTTATAAATAAATTTTAGTTTCAAATATTTTATTCATATGAAATTCAGGCTAATAATAATAACCTGAATTACATATGAATAAGATATTAAAGTTTAACAAGCAGTTATTTATTGTGACAATGTCACAATGTCAGGCTGCAATTTTTAATCACATTTTTAATTTATTTAATTTAAAATATATGCCTTCCACCTGAAATTATTGATAGTACTGTAGAATCTTGCACCCTGTACATCATACTTTTTCATTAGCAATAGAGTTGCACTAGTCATTTATTAACTCCTTTCAGAGGAAAATTTTTTATTGAAATAACATATCTTCTGGTTTATATCAGATGTTTGTATATAGTTAATTGGGACCTCTTGCCCCTAAGGTTTCCATATCTGGTCTTGGATTTCATTTATCTAACTCCATTCGTGAGATTAAGGAACGACAGATGGATGACAGTGGGAATTTATAGGTTTACAACTTTTCAAAATTGCAGCCTAATTAATATATTATATATATTAATTAAACTATAACTGAAATAATGATAGGAAATTGTTAAAAATCAGCCATATTTTTTAATATTTCTTAATGTCATAATAAAGAAAATAGAAAGAGAAAAGATGAATAATAGTTAAGAGAGAATAAGAATAAAAAATTAGTTGTTTATTTTATTAACTATGGCTAACTTAAAGATAACTTTTTCAAGTAAAAGAAAAAATTATATTATTAATCATCTGTGTTGTATCTCTATTAATGGGTAGCTGAATTTTAGAATGCTTACCAAGAACTATAACTAACAGAGAAGGTATCTAACTGCTTTTTTATTTCAATGTAACAGAAAAATGGATGTAGAATGAAAAATGTTAATTGAATATTACCGAGATATGGTTCTTAAAAAAATTTTATTAGATAAAGAAGGTGCTGATTTTAATATAAAATTTGTTTTCAATGTACAGTGGATGATCAGTTAACAAACAGTTTGGACTGCAAACAAATCAGACAACAAACACTTTCACGAAAGATTTTTATGTTTGAACAACAAACACATGTTTGGATAATGAACACCTCACAGAACAAACAAGAAGAAACAATGTAAAATAATGAATACCAATTGGCCTTCCCTTGTCTCTAGGTGACAGTTTGAAACCTTTTTGAATGTATGAGTATTGACATCAATGCTCAACCTGATACCAATCGGCTAGTATTCCTCCAAACTTTAAAACTCTCCCTTGTAATTCCAGCCTTTTGTTTACCTTTCTGACAGAAAGAATTTTTTATAGTCTTTGCAAGACTGTCAGGCGCTTGTTAAGTTTTGCATTGGCTTTTATTTTTGAAAGGTGAGAGTTAACTGATTTTTGTTAATGTTTTAACACCAAATTTCGAATTCTGTCTGGCTTCACATTTAAATAATTTTTTGTGCACTAGTTGATTTCTGTTCTCTGAATTTTTGTAAGTGCTTTTCTGAACATTTTATTTAAAAAAAGAAACTGATAATATTATGAAGCCTAAAAAGAGTGGAGTGTCAAGAACTGTGCTCACCATAGAAATCAAGCAAGAATTAATAGCCAAGGTAGAGAGTGTGCAGATGTCTGCTGTTGCTAGACAGTAGGGCTTGAACAGGTCTACAGTAGGCACAATCTTAGCTAAGAAAGATATAATTAAGAAGCTCAAACAGCTAAAGGAATAACAAAATTCACATCTGAGACACAAAGATGTACCATCCATAAAAAATGGAGATTGCTTTTAATTTTTATAAAAAAAAGAGAAATGTAAAAAGATGTAACTAGTACGACTATCATTCAAGAGAAAGCTAGAGAAATTTCTGGAGAATTGAAGAAAGAAACTCCATATTTTTCACATGAAGACATAGAATTCAAGGTGTTTTGAAGCATGCCAGTTATCCTCAATGATAACATTAAAAACATTTTGAAAAGAAAAATTTGATATTTTTGAAACTATCCAGATCATTCAAAAGGCATGGTCAGAAGTCATTCAATGACTTCTGACCATGCCTTTTGAATGTGTCTGAAATTATGGATGAAATTGTGACAACTGCTAGAGATTGCAAATTGGAGGCGAATGACATTGAAGAGCTCATAATGGAACCTGAAACTGATCTGGTGACAGAACTCCAAAAACTCTTGAATAAAGAACCAAGAATCTGAGTGAAATGTGTTTTTTTCTGAAAAACAGGAAGACAAAAGAGGTCCAATTCTGACATCTGCTATTAAATGCTGAATCTTTTGAAGAAGAGGGAGGATGTCAGAATAAATAAAGGTCTTAGAATGGCATCCAAACCAGGTTTAAGATAATAGGCTTGGGGATCTATACAACAACAATGCTATTAATTACTTCCGAAAAATCCTGAAGAAAGAAAAGCAATCAACATTGGACAGATTCTTTTGTGGCCGTTGGCCATAAAATTGTATAAAAATATGTATTAATTTTAGCTAGTTTTAATTTTTTCTTTGTTCTTTTGTTTCTTACTTTTCCTAGAACTTTCCCTTCCAACCTTTTTCCCTTGGGTGGGATTACCAATTCCAAGAAATGAGAGTAGAACAAAGGGTGAAGTAGGACCCTAAGGCCAGAGAACAAAAGGAGAAGGAGAGTCTGGGTCGAGCGCTTGAGGAGAACGGACGAGATAAGGTAGGGCTCCGTATCGTGAGTAGGATGACTGGAGACTACGAGACTTTGATAAAAAAAAAAAAAAAAAGAAGAAGTTTGGGCTTGAATTCCAAAGAAGAGCAAAGAGGAGGTAGTGCTCCAGATCGAGTATAAAGCGATTGGAGGCTACGTGAAGCCATAGAACTTGCAGGAAGAAATTCCTAAACGGAAATATCAAAGAGAGCCACAGAAAGAACCATACGAAAGGTCCACAGGAAGGACGAGAAGTAATGTCCCAAGTAAAGCTCCAGTGTAGTATTCCACCCAAGATTACGAACACAAGAAAATCTCGGGTATTTCCATCTTCATCTTAAACTATTCTTATCTGTCTATTCCTTTTTTCCTTCTTTAGTTGTAAGTAGTATAAGGATTAGTTATAAGTCTCGGACCATGCATAATTGTCGCTCAATTAGCTCACTATTTTATTGATAAGATTGTAACGCCCGTGTGTACACAAAAACATCTTTTGTAGCGTTAGGATCCCAAAAGAAAAAGGGAAAAATGAACCTGTTCGAAGCGAAAATAAATAACTTTGTGTCAAAAAATATCTAACGAGTATTTATTTCATACTTTTCTGCTTGCGAGACTTTGTACTTGTCGAAACAAACACCACACTTTAAAGACCCACAAATGGGGAAAGAAACATGACTGATAAAAATGCAAGACTGTGTATGTATGTATTATTGTTACAAATAAATAAACATAGTAAGAAAGTACATCATTTTTTTATTTACCTTTTGGAGTGTCTAGAACAAATTAATTGAATTCCCATAAAAATTATAGTAATTGATAATTGGTTAATGAACAGTTGGGTAGCAAACATGGTCTTGGAACAGATTATGTTCATTAACCAATCACCCATTGTACATTCAAATTATTATTATTATGTTGGGTTTTGTGAGTTATACTCTGTTCACACCGGTGGCTGTGTACTATGCCGGAGTAGAGTCAAAGCATAGCAACCAAAACAAAACTAAAATTAAATAAGTGTGTCAGTGTGTGTGTCTGTATTCATGAATTTCCTAACAATGTGGCATGTATTCAATATAGTGGCCTTCTGTAGTGTGATGTATGTATTTCTACTCAATTGTAATGTTCCCAGGCTTTTGTGTAGTGTGTGTGGTATCACACCTGTACAGGAGAGAACGACAGGTACAATAAGCACCCTATCCATCCTCCACAGATGCCTGATTTCCTGGGCGAGTTCTGTGTACTTGCTAATTTTTTTAGTGCATGTGTTTTGTACATTGTGAGTGTTTGGAATAGCTATGTCTATAATGTATAATGTATTGTGTTTGTCAACGAGTGTGATGTCTGATCTGTTGTGGTAGATTGTTTTATCTGTGATTGTGGCTCTGTCGTAGTACATTTTGTGCGTGTTGTTTTCCAATACTGTCTGTTTATTATTATTATTATTATTGTTATTATTATTATTGCTTAATGGAAAAGACCAATAATTTATTTTTAACTTATTAAAAACCTATGATAACCAAATACATTTTTTTAAAATTTGAAATGAGTTATTAAAACTTTTCAAATCATTTTCTATCTAATAGTCGAGTAATAATTATTTAATAGATTGTTAGCTAGTTATTTTTTGGTTTTCAGTAATAAAATGTTTTTTCTTCTATGATTTCTAAAATGTTGTGTTATTATTTTTAATGCAATATATAAAACTACATTGTATTTAAAGATACTACAAAACCTATTGGCAACACTGTAAAAACTATATTATTAACGTTTGTACTGATTTATACAAGTTAAGTTAAAACTAATTTTTAATAATTTGTGATTATGGTTAAAGCTTAAAAGATCTTTTCATTTAAATTTAACAAAAAGTATTGATTAAAATTAATATTTCTTGTTTTGTTGTAATTTTCAATCTGACTTCAGCTTTATTTGTGATTTTATTTGCATTAATTTTACTAATATATTTGATAATTTTATGAATGAATGAGATCTATAAAAATAATTTTTATTTACTTTTATAGTTCCAACAAATGTGCCACAGTTCAAATTAGAAAAGCTGAAAAAAGATAAAGATTGCACACAATTAAAATTAGAGTTATCACGTATATCTGAAAGAAATGGTTTAATTTGGTAAAATACTTGTGTATAAATTAAAAATAATAATAATAATCTAATTCTTAATTTCAAATCATTAAATAAAGATTTTTATATTTTAAGGTGTTATCATGTAATTGTAATTAAACTTAAAAAAGGTGATACAGTGATGGATTTACCAAGTGATCCAAAAAATATGAATTTATCTACATATGGAGAGGTACATAAAAGTGATAAAAGTGGTGCTTATATTGCTGAAGCTTTTACAAGGTTTGTTTTAATCTTTAAATAATAATTATTTAAAAATTTTTATTCTTATTTCATTAAAATTAAGAGTTATTAATATTGAAATCAATATATAATTTATTTAACATGAATCAACAATAATTTGTTTGTTAGAAAAGTATGTACAGTACATAAAGAAAGTTTTTTAATAATGTAAGGAAAAAACTTATTTGTATCTTCTATTTCTTTTCATATATATTTGCTGAATATCTGAAAAGTATTATATTGGCAAGATATACCTTTTTTCTGTCACTAACCATTCACAAGGCTATATTCTTTATCTGCTAATAAGTACAATATATGTCACAAGTAGAATAATTGTTAGTTGAAAGCAGAGATATTTTATTTTGTTCAATCAGAATGCACTGGTATGCCATATCAGTAGATAGCATAAGAAACATCAATAACCAATCAATCATATCAATCCATAATAACCATCAATCAATAACCAGTATATAGTGCTGGCAGTTGCTCAGTAAAAACAATTCTATATGTTCAACCATCATATTTATGTACCAGAATAATCTTTATAGGAAAAAAGCAAGGATTGAAAGATTTTATGCTTTCAGGATAATTTTAATGATCTTCCATATAATATGAAGCTTGTTTAGGTTTACTACAAGAAACTCAAGTTAGTGTTTTAGTTTTTTTTATAACTTTTATATGAACATTAATCATATTTGAACATATACATGTATATGAACATATTTGAAATATTATCAATCTTACATTTGAATGACTTCAGGTATTCAAGAACAAAATTCCACTGAATGAAGCATATTTTTCCATTAAATGATACCAGAATATTGAAATATTTTTTAAACATTAATGATATACAACTAAAATATACCAAATAATATTTACAAAAATAAGAAAGATTTATATAAATTTTCTAATTCAAAAAATATTAAAATAAAACAGTAATGTCTCCAATAAGCAATATTTGTGCATTAGGATAATATAAAATAAATATATACTCTAGAGTTGCATTTTATTCTTGCATACGGAAGAATCAATTTAGGTAAAATAGATCTAGTCAGCTCCCTTTTGATGTTTGATTAGAAATGTAAGGTTTTAGTTTCACTAAATAAGACTAATATTGATATTCAATTACAAGTTTTAGATGAAAGAAAAATTACAGAACTTAAAAATTTGAAAAATTTATTTTTGTTTAGTTTTCATAAAATCATCCTTGCAAATCTAAAATTTTTTTATATAATCAGGAAAAATGTTACTTTTTTGAAAAGTGATTTATTTCAATAATCAAACACTTTCAATCAGATCTGTGTTCAGCAGCTTTTAAAATTTTCAAAACATCTTATTATTAAAGTACAAAATATAATAGTTTTTTGATTAAAATTTTTACAACTTTGTATTAAAATGAATATTAATGTTTTGACATTTTTGGTCTTTATCAAATTGAAGCAATTGAATTCATCCATTTAATTTAACAAAAATCAAAGAAAAATGAAACTGCATTTTAAAACTTTAAATAAACTTTCTTTTTAAAATTGACTATATTGAATGTCATATGGGAAATTTATTATTTATGAAAACTTGAAACTTGAAGAAAAATTTCTTCTTCTTCAATAGATTAGAATCTCATTAAAAATCTAAAATATTTCAGAGAAAAAGGATTTAAAATTCCTTTTTCTCTGAAGTATTTTTTATAATGTTATCAAGTTTGTCTTCTTCAATCATCAGTTCTTAATATAAACATAGAAAATACAATTATTTGTTATTTAGTAAATTTTAGAAAATTTTTTATGATAAAAAGTTTCAACTAACTGCAGTCTTCTGCATATGCATCAAAACAAAAATAATGTTAGCTTTTGACCTTATGAGATATTTGTTTATATGCACTTCATCGAATGATGAATGCAAGTGCCAGATAAATTAAATTTTCGAATTAAAACAAAAATACTGTCACATGTTTTTTTGATAACAGTACAATGAAGAAGCATATGTATCAATACTAAACTTTTGAGAAAGCTTAAATTTGAAAGAAAAATATGATAAATTTACAAAATTAAATTACACAATAGAAAATTTACAAAATTGAGATTTTAAGTGAAAATTTTCTGATGAGAAATGTAATTGAATCATTTAAAAAATGAATTAATTTACTCAAAGAATAACATCTTTGAATAAATGGATATGAATTCATAACATTTAGATGTAGAAGACAGAAATATTATATAACTTTATCACCCACATTAAGTTTAGAGTTACTAGTAATTCATTAATCATATTATATTATTTAAATTTTACAATAATCAATTTTTCACTAGAATTTTTAATAAATACACAAAAAAATTTAATTTTTAATACTTTATTTAAAATTTTTTTTGGCTTGCTTATAATTTTTGTTACTAATACTTTGATTTCATGTACAAATATCATTTAGTATTATTTAATTCTGCATTATATATCAGAAATGGAGAGTCAGCATTTTAATTTTGATTAGAAAATCTACTTCATTTCAGCATTTATGGTCTAAAAGTAGGCATTGTTTATTTATTCTAATTTTAGAGCAGTTGAGCTAGTACTATCATTTTGTTTCCATTTCACATTGCAAAATTTTCTTTGATATAAATGTCTCAATATTACCATATTTTAAGGCATATAAGATGTATCCCTATTTCAGCACAGAATATTCATGGAAAAGTATTTTGTGTATTTAAGTAGTCTTGCTTCTTTGACACTTAACTGCAAAAAGTTTTTTACTGCATTCTGGTTTAAAAAATAAAATTAGAATGCATGCTTTTATTTATCAGACAAAAAGAGGAGTGTAAAAGTACACATTTACAATTAAAATTTACCATTAAAATATTCAATGTGAATACATGCAAAAGTTGCTTGGCTATAGCAAATAATAATAATAATAATACATTTAATTAAGCAATAACATTTTTATTCAAGGGTTAGCTAAGTAGAGGCTATCTGTAATATACTGAAGGCTGTTTGGAAAATTTATTAGTCTATGAGAGATCAGAACTTCACATATAAGATGCAGAATGATTTTTTTTAGCCTTTTTATTGGTCAAAGTTGCACCTTACATGCTGTAAAATATGGTAAATAATATAGACACAAATAAAAAACTTAGACTATTTTGGGTTCTGGTGTTTAGAGTATTTAATAGTAGCATTATTGTAATCTAACAAAGATAACACTGAAATTGAAATTAAACCAAAAATTTAACTTTGAATGACATCTTTATAAACTAGGCATCAAGTTACAGTATGATCTGCATGCTAGCTTCATAGCTTACATGTTGTTCACAATAAAATATCAGTTAATAATTTGAAGTATGTGTCAACTATCATAACAATTTTTAATACTTTTAATTTATAAAAGTTTATTTAACCATATTCTGAATATATAGGTAAACTATGATTTTTGTACTATCATGAAATAATTATTTATATAACTTGATTGATGTCAATTTTCTCTGAATATTATTTACTGTCTTTAGTAAATAATATTCAGAGAAAATTGAAGAATGATATAAATAATTGTAGTATTTATTTTAATATGCCTCAATGTCCTTAATTTAATCAAAATATTCTTTCAATCACCAGTACAGTGTGTATTCCGGGTCTTCATTATTGTAGACCCGGATGAGGTTGAAAATGTTTGCTGTTTTGTAAACACGTATCACTGGAGTTACAAAGGTTTTTTGTGTGATGAATTATATTTCCTCTAGTATTTGCTAAGAGATTCATGTCTTAAACTACATAAATTAGATATAGAAAAGCATAAATGAACAGTGTGTTCTCTTAATATCAAGAATATGATAAAATATTGGCAAATGTTAATACAGCAAAATTAATAAAATTTAAAATATTCATTTGAGCTGGAAATTTAAATTCAAAAAGTTTTTTTTAAATCACAAGAAAAAATACTCAATTAGTTTTGACTTTAGAGGTGATTAACACATTGAAATAACATCTGTAACAAGAAAGGAATTATTTATTCTCACAGATTGAGTGTTTTTCCTTGTGTTTAAAAAAATTTTTCTTGAATGTTGATACAACTTTGAAGTAAACTTTATTCAGTTACCTCATTATTAAATATTTTGCCAGATAAAAATGTAGTCTTGTTTAATTTTTATAAAGCAAACATCAGTTTTAGAAAATATTCATATTGATTATATAATAAAATACTTTGAAGTGATATTTCATTTTCTTTTTGAAAGTGATATTTCATTATGCACACCATTCATATTATTTGTATTATACACTGTTCATTAAGCACACTTCATGAATATAAGATTTATTGCTATCTAAAATGTTTTTGAAGAATTAATTTTGAAAATAATTTAAATGACTGTTTATTTTTATTCTACTTGCAATGCTGTAAGCTCTATTGTTTTAAGTTATTTTGCAGATACTACAATATATTTTTAGTATACTTAAAAGAATCTTTTCACAATTGGAAGTAGGTAAGTAAACAACATATTCAATTATGGACAGGATCAATATATTTTCAAACTACAGATTTGTTTTCTTTACAATATAATGTTGAGAATTTGTAAATATTCATTTGTAAAATAAATATTTACAAATTCTTAGTCTTACATTATAAGGGAACTATAAATTATTTCAAATTTTACACAGTTGATTTTTCAGTTTTCAATCAAAATCATAGTTTTTAAAAAGACCAGATTATAAAAATATTTAAACATTTCCTATCTTAAGAATTGATTTCATATATTTTTTAAAATTGAATATAAGATTAAAATCAGAAAATATTGAGATAAATTATGTTTCATAACAGTTTTAGATTTGCTGCCTTGATAAAAATGGTGATATATTTTGAATCTTTTTGTAAATTCTTTCCAGATTGATGTAATCTATTGTAATTTTTTTTATCCTAGAAATTCTTTGCTGCTATATTTGTTACAGAAATTGTATTATTATAAATACATAAAAATCAGAATTTCATTGTAATAATGTTATTTAAACTTTTTACTGGTATTAAA